AGGTGTCAATGCACGCGGACAGCTTTTCGTTGAACAGTTCGCCGTTTCCGCATTGCACAACGTGTCCGTGACCGCTCGCCATACAGTAAAGGAAGTACGAAACACAGTAGCCTAACGCGATCCGTCCGGGCGAAGTACATCTCGGGTCAGTAGGTATGTGGGCAACGGGCGTCGTTAAGGGTACATCCTGGGCTGTTGTCTTCGCACTTGTCGTCGTTGTCGTCCTCGGGTTGCAGTGCGGAACATCGCGCTTAGGTAAGCACTTCTGAAGCTTTGCTACGAACGCCTGTCCCGGCGGACAGCAGTCAGGTACGAAGATGCCGGCTAGACAGATGTAGTACTGTCTGGCACACGGACCTGTCGGGTAAAAGCCGTCTAATTTATTCGCACATATCGGGTCTAGAAAAGTGTGTTTCAGCAGATCATCGTCTGCAGTCGAACAGCAACTCACCTTTCCTCGCCTCGAGGTTGCACGCGTACTTCGCCGCAAGTGGAACGCACGTTTGCGCCGCGCTGTCGAACGCGTACCTGCTAGGGCATTGCTTGACCATACTGTAGCCCATGTTACAAACGATGTAATCCCTCTGGCAGGGTGTGATCTCGTAACCGCCGTCAGGCATATATCGGCACTTTGCGTCGAATCCGTTGGTCACCGGTGGCGGGATAGGCAAGTGTGGCCTGGACGGCTGGCATTCGTTAATGGCCGACTTCGGTCTGCACATGGATATCTCCATGTCGAAAGCCATCAGCTCGTTGCCACAGCTCTGCAGCCATCCTTTCCCGTCCTGGCAATATACGTACAGTTCGCTGCACCTTTCGTCCAGAGTGTGAAAGCCGTTCGATTTATCCTTGCACAGGTGGTCGAAGTTTCCTATAACACAGACGTGCTTCCTGAGTGAACCACAGAAAAAAATTGAGCTGGAAAAGTCTCGAACTCAAGACCGGTAAGAAAATGGCTTCATTGCCTCATGAGAATGAGGAAAAAACGTTTTGTCCTGATTTGCTTCACCGGTTCATCAAGATTCTGCTCGCAAACCCTTGTACATGCAGAAGTAACGCGATATCCGGTGATCGTTTCTGGGAGACGCGCTGCGCGTTTTTGATACAGTACACTTACCGTAAGATATCTGATTCAGGCAGTCGTAGACCAGGACGCATGTCTGGTTGTCCGGATTGAACACCGTGGTAGGTGGGCAGCGCTGAAGGAAGAATCGCGACTGG